CTTATCTGGCGTTTTTCTGAGGATTAAAGTGATTAGATTCAGCTGCAATGTCAAACCAACTATAGAATAACTGCCTAACAACATACCAACAACATAAAATCGGCTTAAAAACAAAAACACAACACATCCGCTTTTGAGAGAAAAACATCTTTTAGTATAATTTTTCATTTTACAAACTCTCGAACAGCGTATCAAGGCCGAACACAGTAAATAATACCAGCTACTCCTCTTCCTCCTCCAGATACACACACATTACAAGCTTCTAAAAATAAAGTCTTCCAGTACAACTCTTACATAACATTTCGATCCAAACCCTCTGGCTCGGGCAAACGCACCGCGCGTCGTGCTGCTTTCTTCTGGCTTCTGAAAGCGTCTGTCTATGGTTGATATATGTTATGTACTGGGCATTCTCGGCAGTGGGGGCCAGTGTTCCTCCGGACAACTGATCACGTGGACTAGGACGTCTCTTATTTCTCTTCTCACCTTTTATTCACCCTGCTCACAAAGCCTCTTCAACTGTTCTCATGATTCTAGAAGCGTAAGTATTCCCTTCTTCCCTATTATAAACAATGCGGGAATAGGCTGGCGTGGCTGGTTCATGCTGTAAATTCCTTAGCACTCTGGGAGGCCGCGAGTGGAGGATTGCTCTGAGCTTAAGAGTCCTCAAAGCGAAACCAGCCTGAGCAAGAGCAAGATTCCGATGTCTACTCATGAACCCCCTCCCGACAAAAACCTTACCGTTTCCGCTCGCGTGGCATGCACCTGTAGTCCCGCTACTCTGGGAGGCTGAGGCAGGAGGACTGCTTGTACCAGAGGGGTTTGAGCTTGCTGTGAGCTAGGCTCGGACACCACCGACCACTGCTAGCCAGGTGCACACCAGGCAAGGCTTTCGTGCCCAGAAGAGAGAAAAAACAACAAACTAGGAGGCCAAACAAACAAACCAAAACAGTTGATATGCCAAGACATCATCTTGAATCATAATCAGCTACCCCAAGTGCTCACTTTTGACTACCCCAAAAAGCATAAGCAAATTGGTGCGGAGGATTATTTTACGTTGCTCCTCTTCTGCTAAGCTTCAACGTCAGGGAGACAGTTTACGATAGAGAGGCAAGGCACTTTTCCACTACACTTGGATGTGTTGTGGAATGCTTAAGGCTTAGCTAAAACATTTATGCTGCTCTCTGTTTACTACTCCTTCGTCTATGAAATCAAGGACCCATAAGATGTGATTGACCTAGCCTTGTCTTTGAAGGACTCCAATGACAGCACGGAAGTACATGAAGCCCTACAAGTATACAGATAAATGGAAATGATAGAGCATACTCTCTTTGTTAATTTCCCCATCTCTTCTTTCCTCTCCAGGAGTTCGACCTCTACATTTGCTCACTCAGGAAATGAACCACTGGTGGCACCTCTGGACTCCATGGTGATCTGCTCTTGCCCTGGCTTTTTTACCGTAGCAAAGTGAGTACTGAGGCTGAGCGAGGTCAGTTGACAGGAGTTGAGGTCTGCAGTGAGCTATGATCTGCTGGCATTCTAGCCTGGGGAACCAGAATGAGACCTGTCTCAAAAAAAAAAAAAAACAACAAAAAAAAACAGGTGAGTACCTGAGTGCCTTAGAATCGAAAGTTTACGATTAAACACTACCCTCGCCACCTTTACCAGCATGTAGCATT